GTTTTGTTTTAATATTTTTTTTTATTATACAGATATAAGAAATAATAAAAACAAAATTCCGATTCAACTATAGATTTTGATATGTTAATGTTCCTATAAATTACAAGTATTTATCTAAATTAACTTATCAAATACAACGATAGCATGAATATTTATCATGCCAATTTAATCATGCAATTTAAAAATCTTTTGAAAAATCCTTCATTTCCTCCTTATAAATTTTTCGCTAAAATTCCGTTACCGATAACCGATATGCGATATATTCTTCAAGAGATACGAATAGCTTCATTTCTGATATAAAGAAGTTATCAGAGGAGGTGAGAAAATCTCGCGACCGGAGAGAAGACGAGAAGAAAAACGGCTAAGAGAAGGAGGAGAAGGAAGAAGAAGATGAAGGAGGAGAAGAAGAAAGAGGAGATAGAGCCGAGGGAGCTCGGGGAGGAAATAAGAAAGCGACGAGTCGTTGAAACGGGCGTGCTCGCTGCTCGCGCATTGGTGCACCATTGTGCACGATGTGTGCACAGTCGCCATGTTGAATATCCCCACTTCTGTTTCACGTGTCGAGATACCTACACACGTGCTGCTGCCACTGTCCTAGCCACTCGCGCCGTCCTCGGTAGGGTGAGAGATCGAGCCTCATCGGCTCCGCCATGGGGGCTGGTTGCTGCTACGCGGCGAGCCGGCAGAAAGAGAGGGGAAACAGAAAAATACGAGGATTTAAGGGGTTGGATGCAATTTCGGATAGCCGACTCACTGCGCAGCCTCCTCTAATTGAAGACCCTGACGGCGGTTCGCGTTGTACAGGATATTTATTAGGGCGCAAAGTATCTTTTCTTTTGGGCTTGAATTACTATCGTAACGTTCGTAAAATTATCCGTGAGAGAAAGGGATATTCTTCGGAATGTCAATGAACAACATTGATCCTATTGTACTTTCCCGTGATAATTGTGGTTTGAAATTCTGGGCCGAGTAAAAGAGACACTTTTTATTGAATTGAACCAATATAAAATTGATTGATTACTAGAAGCTATAAGAACTTAATTTATTAATATGAATTTATTATTCCTCTCTCTCTCTTTTTCTTAAGTGCCATTATGAGTAGACACTAACACGAATGTAATTTCCCTTAAAGCACACAACAATGCGCCACTAAAACTAATATTGATCGATTAAAATTAAATTAAATTATTGATTGAAAGTATAATGATGCGAATAGTCAATCTCCAAGCACTTACATTTCTGCGTGCTGTAAATGCCGCACGATGCATCCGAACATATGTAACATTAAAAGTTAATCGATTATTCCTGGCGAGATGAGGATCGTGGTGATTGAGTGCTTCCAATCTCACGCGATATGGCGTTTACCGAGCGTCTCCGATCCGTCGTCCTTTGATACGTCGATTGATTCGTTCTAACTCTGATTAGACGTAGCGATTTAGCACGGAATTTATTGTCGCTGATAGACTTGGTTCCCCCCCTTCTTCCCCTGTCATGACGGAATATTTCTTCTTATAACATATCGAATAGTCGATATCGATTTGCTAGCGAATGCAATTTGCACGTACTATGCCGTATATGCCTTTAATAACAATATCGAATGTTTTAAAGCTATATCTCTATAGCTCTGACAAATCGCTATTGTTTAAAATGAACCGACTATAAAACGTATTCTTGCCACGTCCATTTAATGACAGATATATCTTTCTTAAATATGGAATTTAAATTACTCTTAGAAAAGATTCGGTGAAGCTTGAATATTCCAGAAATATTTAAAAAGTAAAACTTGTATAGCTTATCAAGCATTTAGCACAATGATTTAATCATATAAATACGATTCATTAAACGTTTATAATAAAAGAAAATGGTCGTATTGTAGAATCGCATCCTGTATGAGTGCCAATCAATGTAATTGTAACGAACGCGTCGTCATCCGTTCTAATTTTCAACGCGGTTTTGAGATTAATGTTAGCTTGATTACAACCGATGGTTAAACGTCGCCTGAAGATAAACGTCAATTATGAAATATTCGCTTGGTTGACAGTAGATTTTCACGGATCCGTGATCACGAGCGTTTTCATCGTCGTGACAGGAGTGTCATTTCGCGCCGTCGGCTGACGTCTTAATTGCGTAATTAGCGTCGATCAAATTATATGACGGTGTCGGATGTTACTGTTAGATTCCCCGTAATCGTTAGATCGGACGTAGATATCAGCCAGTCGACGACACATGATATTCCAAAGGTTTTCGAAATGCACGAATTTGCGCCACTTTTAACAGTCAATCAACTTTTCATCCGTAAATGCCCGTTCTAGACTGGAGGATGAGCCGACTCTCGGCTCATCCGAATGAGTGATGTAGACGGGTAAAAATCTATAGTTTATGTATAGTTTATGTCACGTACACTATAGAAGGCGGATGAGCCGAGGTCGGCTCATCCTCCAGTCTAAAACGGGCATTTAGTATTTGCGTTGCGTTTCATCGAAAGGCTAATTTTTGTCGACTAATTTCAGGGAGCAGTTTGTGCATATAAAAATTAACAGATTTAAATTTAAGCTTCATAAATTGTGAAAAAGATGTCTCTAATTTGACAAAATACGCATTAACACTTTACTATGGTGGTTTCACGGTGATTGGATGGTCATCCATATCCAGCGCTTAACATTTTAGTAGTACCTTGATGGTCACTGTGATGACTGGCGTTAACGAAATTTTTTTAAACATTTGTAAAAAATAAATGCCATTTAATATAAAATTTTGAATGACATAAATAGCTAGATAACATTGTAAAATATAAAATGCACAATTCAATATACTACCCGTGAGAATATATTTTTATTTAATACATATTTCTTAGTATTTTTAATATTATATGCTTACGACAATGAAAATTCGGCAAATCTACAGAAAAACTTACACAGCATAAATAAACGCGACCTTGACATATATTATAGAGGATTAATTCCTGAGTAAAGATATTTGAAATTGAGAATATATGTGACTAAAAATAAGAGCAAGGATATATTGTATAGAACATCTTAGAATATTTTCCCGTAATATATATTATATATATATATATATATATATATATATATATATATATCTTATTACTTATGATATGCTCAAAAACTGTAAAAGATGAGTTGTGTTTCCACTTCCTTATTTTATGTACGCGTGCGTAGTTTTTCCAAATATATGTCATTCGACTAATATTTAATTTACAAACATATATATGTATGCATGTATATTTTGGAATTATGATTAAGTTTGGGTTAGGTTAATTTTTTTCGGGATGGGGGTGCAGAGGGAGGGATGAGGCCCGTCCAAGCATTTACTTAAATATACAAAAAAATTTATTCTAAAATGTTCTACACAATTATCGCTCATACTTTTATATCTTTCACCTGCAATATCTTAGGAACTATAAAAGAGCACCACCTCTGATTCAAATTGCATTTTATTTAAGAATTAACTCTCTATAACATATATCAAGGTCAAAGTCGAGGTTATACATGCTGTGTAAGTTTTTGTAGATTTACCGAAAATTCTACTGTAGTCTATACTCCAGGTAGAATAAAAAGTCAAAATAATGTCAAAATAATGTCAAAGTGACCTAAAAATCATTGTTTTGCCACTATATTTTGACATCGCTTTGACATTATTTTGATTTTATTATGATTTGCTGTTCTACCTGGGACGGTAAGACATATAAAATTTATTGGACAGGCAACGTGTTAAAGACACCTTAGGTTTAAAAGACACCCACTGACTTTGACCTCTAGATATTGTTATAGTAGTCCTAATCTATTAGTCCTATATAATCTATATATATACAGAATAGCCTACCTGTTACAGGATAATCCTAAAAATTTTCTCGAGAAATATGACAGAAAGTACGAATACTTTAATACATATCAATATCTGAGATTAGGCTTGAAAATTTTTATTCTTTTTTCTGGATTTATTTTTTCCATTTTTATTCTTTAATTTCTTTTACCTTTTATTATCATTTCTTTTCACATGTTCTTTCGTGTTGACAACGAAAAGAGAAAACCAATTTTTAAGTAAAACTCATCTTCACTCGTCCTACAAGTGGAAATTCCCAAGTAAATCTGCCATAATGGTAGAATCCACAATTAAATTTGTAACCATCAATCGTACAATCTTTTTCCCGTTAGTTTCCGTTTAAGATAAGATTATTTCGTAAACAACAGCGAAAACGGTAGCGGAAAATCATTTTTCTTAATTTAAATATCCATTAATTATCCATTTTCACGTAAAATATCTTTCACTGAAAAAGCTATTGTACAAAGAATGTAAAAGACGGTAATTACTTATACAAAGAAAAAGATGCTTTTTGTTTTGAGGTGATTTTCTAGATATTTGTTACTCTTTTGACCTTTTCACAGCTTTTTATTCGAATCCTGTATCCCTGGCGGAGTTTTATTGCTCTCCAGTAGAGAGGATAGTCGAAGGAGCAAGCGAAGCCGTACAATCCACAAACGAACGAATAGCTCTTCTCACGTTTCTCCCGCGGGGCGGAGTGGAAAGAGAGGAGAAAGGGGTAGGGGGGCGGAACGGGGGGCGGTAGGAGAGAAATGGGGAAACGCGAGTGGGAGCGAGAGCGAGAGCCAGACGTATTAATTAAACGACTCATTTTCATCGCACGACAAAAACGTGAGTTTAACGCCCATCGTCGACTAATACGTCGCCCCACTGCAGCTTCTACGTATCTCGCAGGAACTGTGGTAGCCAGAACCGCGTTCGTGTCCAACTCTGGTTTCGCGTCGCGTCAAATTGGCCAATCGGATCCGAGTGCACGCCTTCGCGTGTGTAACTTGAGCAACGCCCATTCCCCACTTCGCGAGCTCAATCTTGCTTTGACGAGAAATAAGCTGGTGGGGCGTATAACTCGATGCCCTGCTCCAACAGAACGCGGTTCCCCACTACGGCGTGGCAAGCGCCTCGTTTAGCCTGTAATTTGCTCAAACACTAGCAAGCTCTCGTGCCAGGAACATCCGTCAGAGCTGGCGCTCGGTGTTCGCTCTCGTATTAACCGAGAGCTGAAATTCACAGGACACGCGCGACGTGTGGTCCCCTTTCGACATTTTATCCACAACAACCTTCCGTGTCGCGTTTCTCGTCGAGGGCGTCGAGGCTCCAGTCGTGTCGCGCGAGCAGGTCGATGGAGAGTGTCAGACGTGACGTACGAGTGAGTGTCGTGAGACTCCAGCCAGTGCGACGGCATTCGTGATTATACGACGTGATTACATCAGTTGAGTTACGTTGGTGGGTGATTTGGAGACACCTGCGGGACGACGAGTTTGCGAGTACATGATATATTCTATCCGTCGTATTCTAGTGATGCGCCAACAAGAGGCCGGGACTTAATTGTCCGTCGCGAGTGACTGTCGAGAGGCAATCGGTGCCGATTCAACGTGTTCGGAGTAACAAATTTCATCGATGATTATTGTAGTTGAAAAGAAGCAATTAATATTCCCGGACAAAAGAAAACAATCAAGAAATCGAGACACCCTGGGAATTGTATGAAGAGATACAGACGTTGAAAATTGTAGATCTTCAGGTGGGGGTTGATATGCCCCAATGACAATATAATACCGTTTATCGGGAGCGAATACGTCTAAAAGTTTACCGTTGACGTAGGTCGTGCGATCGATTCGAAGAAGACGACTTCGAGGCGGTCGCGATGACGCGGCGAACTTAATCAGCGACGATTCAGCGCTCGCAGATCCGTTGGTCCTTTCAAAGTGGGTTGTCCACCTGGGAAGCGTACGATAATCGTACGATGATGCCGCTCGCGCCGACGCCAATCGTTCCGGTGCCATCTAAGCCGAAGATCGGCTTCAGCATCGACTCGATCGTCGGCGGCGGGCAAGGTGGTCGCGAGGCAGACCGGCTGGAGCAGCGAGTCGAAATCGATGGCAGTCCGATGGAGATAGTCGAGGGCTCCTCCTCCCCGCGAGCGCGTCGGGTCACCACGAGATCGCCCGGTGCTCATTCCGAGGGTTCCGATCGGCCCGTCTCTAGGAGTTCCTCCGTCGAGTCATATCCCAACTCGCGACGAACACCGTCGCACGCTACCATCGGTAGCGGCGGCGGCGGTCACCATCATCTTCACGGCGCTAACCATCACGGTCACCCGCATCACCACCTGTCGGCGACGACGCATCTAGACTTCGGACGGACAACCGTTCACAGCCACAGTGGCGGCTCTACGCCCAACAACAGCCCCAGCCCGCCGCACAGAATACCACACGGGGATTCACCGATCGGCTCGCATCCCCAACCGCCCCCAGGGGTGGTCAGGCCCAGCCCGAATTACCTCGCCCCGCCATCTAATGCCGCGACGGCCGCGGTCATGGCCGCGGAACAGCTCAAATCTCTGTATGGACTACCCGGTGGTCACAGTCCCGCTGGTCCGCAGGCCGGTCAAAACGAATACCACTCTCAGCAATTGGCTCTAGCCGCTAATTTGGCCGCGGCCCAGCATTTCCAGGCGGCGAATATCGCGGTAGCACTTCAAGCGCATCACGGCGCGTCGCCCCATGGGCCGCCGCATGGACCTTATCCGCATGGTGGGGCTCCCGGAGGGCCACATCCGCCACCTCATCCGCATCAACAGCCTAGAGATAGCTACCCCCTGTACCCTTGGTTACTGTCAAGGCATGGTAGAATCTTTCCGCATAGATTTCCTGGAGGTATGTCCTTCATCCTTTCTGCTCTTTTGAGTATAATAATTCTTATTAGTGTTAGACATGCGAAGTCAGGTAACTGTTTGGAAACAATTTATGTTTTTCTTTTACAAAAGACGTTTAATGTGTCCTTTAACGCGTGAAATTTAACGGACGTTATGCGATTTACGCGATATGAAAGAAAAATTACGTATAATAATAAAGATGAAATACGTTATTATATATTTAGTCGAATTTCCTTCGCGAATGATTGACTTGTGTAATTCACTGGAATTTACACGTGTTGACGTTAGCGAGTGTCAAGTGTCACTTGAGTGAAAATATTTATTTTGTTTAATATGAAAGAGATCGCTGTTTGTCCGAGAAATGTTTATATTTGGAAGCTAAGATCATCTTCAAGAGCCAAACAATTTAGAAAACTTACTTGACCTCGATTTAACGATTATGTCTGTGAGCACACAACTCTAAATCTGCGTCCGAAGATTTCGGCAATTCGGTTTGCAGACGTAATTATATTTACATTGGGTTTATCGCGTAGTAATTTATCTGCGTGAAAGTCATACAAGTAGATAAACCATACCATTCACATTCCTTATCACAAATCATGCGAGATCGATGTGTAAGCATAGAGAAAATATAACAATATTCATAATGAGAAACGATTTGTCTCGGAGACCGCTTTGAATGTTTCATATGTATTCATGCCATTCCGATATGTCAAAGGACATCGACACATATTTTTTTTTCAAACGTTATCGTTCGAGACGTATGTAAATACCGTCAACTGACAAAGCCGAGTGAAACTCGATCGGCGCACGATCGAGAGATCGCGGTCGCGCGTCCCATTTGCAATATTGATAATTATCCCTGTACACTGACGCGCGCGCATCGCTGCGTTACGTAAGTATTTCGTAATGTAGGATTTTGTAATGTTGTTGGTATGGCGTTTCTTATCGCGCGCCACGCCGCGCCACGCCGCGCCACGCCGCGTTATGCCGCGCAAAACAAGTGTCATATAGCTTTCCGCGTTTCTCGGCGTCGTAATTAATTTATTTCCCCGCGTGTTGATATAAGCGCCAATCCAATTACGCGCCTATCGCCGTTCGTACTATTAATGGGAAACAGAAGAAATATCGTCGCACCCGAGAGAGTTCTCGCTCTCTCGCGGCGTCTTGTTCCGGCTCCCCGCGGTTCGACCGTTTCGTTCGCGCGATGCTGAAGCACGCATGCACAACTTTATGATGGATGATGCCGCTTATCGGTTACGCCGAGATAACGATTTCTGTCGTCCAATATGTATTATTGAACAATCTGAGGTACCTCGAAGAGACATTTAATGTTTATGACGCGAAGGGGACGCGACGCTGCCGGGAGATCAATTTGACTCTCATTGGAGGTTCGCTAGACAATCAATAGTATAATCGGCGTTTTATCTTCGGCCATTTGATAAATACATTTCATTGATCAATTAGACATCTATTACCGCGCGGCAGATAATAATTTAATCGATAACTTTTAATACAAATTTAAAAATTGACTAAATTGCTGGATTCTTATTTTAAAGAAAGCATCGATTTTGAATTACAGGTTATTAATCTTTTAGAGACATCGGTTTTAAAATTGTTTGCAAATTACGAATCTACTTTATTCTTGCTCTAAAGCGCACGATTGTTGACCAATTTGTGTATATTTTGCGCTAAGGGCTAAGGCAGTTTGTCGAACCTTTTTCGAAGTTCGAACAGAGAGATAGAGTCTGTTTAGCAAACTTTTTACAAACTACTTAAGATACACTGGCCGGCAATCAGACAACATAGGCCTCCGTTTAGTATTACTTAGTGGTAGGCCACAAGAGGCAGGCAAGCTTGGAGAAGACAGAACGTCCCCGGCAGGTAGAGAAGACGATTATCATAAATTTACCGCAATCGGCATATATACGGGGCGTGCCACTCGGTAAAGAAATATATCTGCGTATATAGACGAAACTAGTTTCCCCTGAGAAAAGCTTTCAAACGAATGCCATATTAGTCCTTGACGTTTCGCACATTTCTTAGTCTCTAAAGATTAACTCTTTTTTCTTTATGATAATGGTAGATAATGGGTAAAGATGACAAAATGTAATATTAAAAAATCTGAAATTTCCTCGAATTAATTGGAAAAATGATAATTATACATAAGTATAAACATTAGCCTAATTTAAGTGTAAGGATCCTCTCACACAAAATGACATATGCATATGCACATGCATAGCATAAGATCATCTGTATCAATTAATACCTAGTTAAAAGTCTTGACTATATTTTATGCTGGATGTTCATTGGTCCAGGCGGTCTTATGGTGCGCATATGCAGCTATTCCATTTCGTGTGAAAGAGCCATAGCTCAAAGTAATATCCGATGATCATAAAAAATGATATGTACAAGGAATTTCACAGAACGAGTGAAAAACAGTAAAGTAGGAATAATGGATTTTTTTCAAGCAGACACGGTATTGTGTATGGAGACATAAGGATTGAAAGAGATAAAGGAAAAAGAAAAAATCTATGAAACGAATTGGATATTACCGAGAAGAATTTGGAAGAATACACATCAGAATTTGATACACATTAAAAAAATCACGGTTCAAGTTAAGTGAACGTGTCTTGCATAAGTCTTTAGGACTGAAAGATTTAGGAAGAAAAAATAATGTCTACTTTTAGCTCTCATATAAAAATGACAGTTAGATGATAGCTTAATGAAAGTATTAGAAAGCAGCGTCAAGGATTGATCCTTGAAGAACGCCGGATGGGACAATATTACAAGAAGAAAGGGTAGCAAAAGGGTTGTAAACTTGTTGAGAGCAATTTAACAGAAAGGAATGTAAAAGAAATGGTGAAAGCAAATAATCCGTAACATCACAGCTTTGCTAGAAATAAACCTTAATTCATAGTTTCAAATACTTAAAAAAATCAAGTGCTCTTAAACAATTAAGGGTCCACTATGAGAAAAGCGTAAAACAGAATTAGAAACGCGAAGAAAAGAGACAGGAGAGAAAAAGAGATAAGATAATATTACACATTTTGCGAATAATAATGAACATATTATTCATGCTACTTTGGTTTAATACAATCAACATAATAATTTTGTTTGTTTTTAAATTGAATTAAGGGAATAAATGCAGCGCAACTCGGTACTCTCGGTAGTTCTTTTTTCTTATAAACACTCATCTAAATTCCACAGAGAGTTTTATGCTTTTGGAAGTTCTAAGCTATCTAAGCGACTTTCCTTCAGATATCAATTAAGATATTTCTTATCGGCTTTTTCGGTTTGCAGCGATTATTCGTGTTGAAGCGTTGACACGATAACGCGTACTCAAGGCAGAGTGTTACGCGCATTGCTGTAATAAATATCTTCTATATATTAGAAATTGCGCAAAATCTCGCGCGGCCGCGATCGGGTTTCAATGCAACAAGAGCACCGGGACGCACCTCGATATAGCCGATCGGAGGTTCAGTCACGTAGAAGAGGCAGCCGCTTATCTAGCAATTAGTCGATATCGGTAATTACTGTTGAGAAGAGCGAAAGATTCTCCCTTCTCTCACTATTTCGTAGCACACGCGCGTACATTCGAACGCACGGGCGATCTTGTACGAATACACGGTCGATCGCGCGCGAGCGAACGCGCAGACGTCTCGATAAGCGAGTTTTTGATTATTTTCTCTAGCCTATTTCGCCTCAGTTCTGCCTGCCAACGTCTTTAAAGGCTCTTAATGGCGCAAAGAGAACTTCCTCCTCGTTGAATCTCCTGTGCTCGACCATTCTAGACGTTGACGGACATTACCGCAACGATTAATTGCTCCTAGCGGTTTTTTTCGCCGCTCCGCTTCTGCACAGATTTTTAAATCCGACACCGATATCGCGAATTAAATCTCAGCTGTTGCAAAATAACTTTTATCCTGCGTTAAATATGAAAATAAGATTATGATGGATGATTTGGTCGAAAACATTCTTTTATTTGGAGATTTACTTCAATTATCACCTGTACATAAAGATCCTGCCTCTGTACATTTATCGGATGAAAAAATTTATAAATATCTCGGTTCCTTAAGTGTCACTAATCTGTGAGCTATACATTATTTTATTACGATGAATTGACGGTTAACATGCGCCAGCAAGGAGGTGGGTCTTACCGTGAATTAATATCAAGAATTCAGGTTGGTTTATTGTCTGATTTTAAAACTCTCGAAAATAACACAATTTTTTTTACAAGTGAGATTTGAAATAAGATTACACAAATTATGTAATTTTATTGATAATTTGTCGTCTGACACGTGCTTAAAAAATTTTCCGTCCGCCGACGTAACATTTAAAGTGCAGTCTTATAATCTATCTGATCTATCACATTTGTCAAGCAATGATTTAAAAATTGGACTTTCTCACATTGAGAAGTGAAAGCTGTGTGATTCGGACGTGATATTTGAGGAAGCAGTGGTAAATAAGAAATTTTGAATTAACATTACTTTAAATCTCTGCTTAGAGTGATCGAAGTCTCTCATACCGAGAAAAGATTAAACAACGTTTCTCACTTAAACACTTTAAAGAGCAACAATTTTTTATCTGTTGTAACATGTAATCTCAGTTAACTCGCAGTTAATTCACAGTTCATTTTCAATCTCCGTTTACCCAATCAATCGCTAAATACGGTAGAGAACATTCCACTGTCGACGCCGGCAGGTATTACCGTTGCAATTACATCCGAGATTTTCCAGATAACAGGCAGTCTCTCATCCTTGAGAAGAATCTAATCGCCGATGCGAAAACAATGCTATGTTTAACGGCGCATTTAGTCGATAACGCGATTGCAAATCCTACTTGATAGTGCTCAACGCTAAACATCGGTTGGCAGAACCTTTTGCAAGCAGGATTCGCATCGCGCATGCGGTATCCTAATGGCAATTCGCATGGCACGTGGCCGAAGGAAACGATTCCTCGTTCCTCGTACGAGAAAAATCCACGAACTTCCTCGGTTTT